TTTTCATACATTCAGTAAAACACCACAACTTTTTATGCGACTCAAGTCTAAAATCAAACCAACAATCTTGGTCATGAATTTATATTAAAATGTAAATTTATTACTTCTAATAAATGTTTTTTTTACAATTAATTAAGATATTATTCTAAAGGTATACTGTATATATATATATATATTTTGATATATTTCATATACACCAATAAATTCTTTGAGATTTTAAAGTCTATTTCTATTAGCAGATGTATAAATTACACATTTTCTTCGAAATCAGATGAATTTGATTTTGTGACAAACTTATTGTTCATAATATGATTGATATTGAATAACTGAAAAAAATTATCATATGTTAACTTGCTTTGGGTTAGATATGCCGAGGAAAACCCCTTCAAGAAAGCGCAGACGAAACCGTGGGAAAAAAAAAGTCAGCCAACGAAGTAATGAAGGTAAAGCCTGCTTTTAAAAATTAAGTCAGCAGATGTCTATTTAAAATCCTTCAATCTAATTAAGTTTGACACTTTATTCGTCCTCTTCTGTCTGTCCTTTTTATGCAATAAATTTTTATAAAATGTTAATAAATAAGTTCCTACTAGATTTAAGTTTATAGTTTAGGTTTCATCACTCATTGGCATACAACGTTTTATTCACGCAGAATAGCATTAGTACGAAAACCCATTCAAAATAGCAACAACAAACTTGCGAAGGCTTTTAAGAAAGTAAGGAATGTTTTAGTTTGTCGCTGCTAGGTGAACATTGGACGCACACTCTCAAATAAAATAAGTTCACCTCTTTAACTTGACTACCGTACTGTAATTCCTTTGACTATTTGGTTACTCTGTAATTGGCTGCCCAGCCTGGTGAAATAGGTTTCCCTTCATACTGATCTGTGTATAAATTATTTGTAAGTTCCTTCTGGGTGTGATAAACTGTCCATTTTTAACCTTTGGCTACTAATCTTTTCTTTCCAATGGCAAGGCGACATTTTAGCGACGCAAGCGATCCCTAGTTGGCTTTGTTGAAACTCCCATGTGACATACAACAACACCATGCCAGAGTGAACTTCATAAATGTGTAGAGAAATGTTCATAAATGTTCATAAATAGGTAGAAAGTGATTATATTATTATACCTCTAAGTCGCGAGAAAACTGTGTAATGTAAAACATTTACATTACATTATTTATGGGGTGAGTATAGCAGACTCTTAAACTATGCATGTAATAGGATATTATGTTACCAGCCTGGTAAGTGGTGTTTTACCGTGCTCGCACAACAGTTCACTCGGTTACGCCTCGCGCGGGATTTTTGTACAAGTAGGAGATTACCAGGCGAGTAATGTACGATACTTTACATCATAATACACAGAATAATTAGTTCATTTTAAATGCCTTACTCAATTTATTTAGGACATAACATAAATTATAATATTTTTATATTACAGAAAATAAAATAGGCCGTTGCAGTTAGCTGTTTATTTCATCAGCTGACTAAGTGCACGGTAAAATTACATAACGTTATTTTTCTGTGTTTAGGCACGGTAAAGGGTAAATTTCCAGCCTATCAATACGGATGGAAAAGTACTTGTTTCTGTGTAGTATGATGTAAAAAACATTTTTTAGAAAAATGCATCTGTAGTTACATTGCGGCTGTAGGTGTACTTTGTATTAATTTTTTACTTCGTTTCAGGAATGAAAATTACTGTTTTTCAGTAACACATCTGTAACATTTTCCCCTGGCCAAAAACAGGTTACTGCATCCTGTTGTCTAAGCAACGTTTCTGAGGATCCGTTTTTAGCGTAATTGGCATTCATGTTAGCCAAAGTTTGTTCTCGTCAGCCTGATTGAGTCCTGGTCATTCCACCCTTGACATTATCCAGGAGGTGATAGAAGTGGTGTGAAGAGCAGATGGTCATAGCCACTGGTTGTGGCTTATTGTCAACCTCGCCACGCTTCACAAGTAGAATGCTTTTAACTTCGCTAGGTGAAGTGATTGAGCATACATTCCACGTACCTCCCTACCTCCTCAGAATGATCAGAACAGATTGTGTCCTGCTGTATGACACCAGTCAAGGTCAGCAGCGAGCCTCTTAGCGAAAAAAAAACATAAAACTAAATTTTATGTTTTTAGTGTCCAAAAAGGGGAAAACCAATTATTATCCTATAAAACCCCCCATAAACCCCCGTTTCCAAAGTTCAATCATACTGTTTCGCGAACTCAAACAGACGGTGTTTTTGGCCTCTGGGGACCTCAAAACAAAAGGGTAATCTGTCCTGGGTCCAAGTCTTGCTATGAGACCAATGGTAATACTGTAGCTTATTCCCTACTTGGCAAACTCGCTAAAAGGCAAAACAAACCATTCTTTTGCCTATTAAGTAGGCTTATTATTTAATGAAGTGTAGATTATCAATACAAATATGCAACAAAGAAGCACCTTGCGGGATTGCATTCATTAATACTTTAAAACCTAAGCCCGAGAATAGCTTGAATTAGTTTGTTGAATCTCACTTGCGAGTGCTAATGTGCTTATAGTGGTACTTGTCATGTTCAGCCGACGGTAGCATAGTAGCTCAGTTGAATATGGCGTTGCATTGATGAGTGTAGCGTTGAGGTCTTTCTATGTGCGCTGGTTCAAATCCCTATGTGCAATCCATATCAAGCTCAGTAATGAGTAGCTTTAGCTTAGCTGGTAGGAAAGGCCCACCTTAAATCAACGGTTTGGGAGGAAGTTGACAGCATTATTGAGTTTAATAGGATTGCACACAAAACTTTTTTACTTCTTTTTACATTGGTATAGAGGAGTAATACACCGATTTTTCATTTTTGCTTTTATTTTAATTAAATATGGACATATCTTGTATAAATATATTATAAAAGACATAAAATGACATAACCAGAGCCGGTTTAACCCATACGCGAACTACGCGGTCGCATATGGCGCCACGAAAAAGTGGCGCCAATGGGACACATTTTTTTTCAGAAGACAAAATTGGAAACAAATTTACTGACAAGTGAGCAATTTTTCAAGCATCCAAAGAACCACACCAAAAGGCATTTATTCTGTTTTGTACCAACAGCAATAGAAAAATGCGTATACTTATACAACACTTCAACTTAAGGACTCGAGTATATCTAGTGCGCCCTTGACTCAAGGCATTGATTTGCACTATTTGTGATTTTGCACTCGGCAGCGTACAGCTCGGCGCCTGTGGGTTTCATTTTATGACTCATGCTAGTCATGTTCAAGATAAGCAAGCAGCGCCACTAGTCACAACAAGAAACTTCCCCCTCCCTTCTTCCCCTGATCACTTTCCCCTTTTTTTCGTTGTAATATGCTTTATAAAAACTTATATCGTATCCAAGTTATCCTGTAAAAATTGATTTCACATTTAGGAATAAATTGTTAACTTTGGGTTTTGCTTAAGTTTATATGATGAGTAACTTCTTGATCAGCATCGTACGTGTTATTAAATTTACGGAAAGTTATTTACTTTCCGTATATGATGAGTAAAAGTGTAAAAATTTTTAATTTCTGTGAGTAATAAACAGTAGTTGAAAATAGTTATTTGTGTAACTAGTGGTGAAAGTGGCACTTTGCTGCACACGAGAGGCGGCTCGTGCGGAATGATCTAGAGTGCAGCAAAGGCCTTTTTCACTCGCGTTACACATTATATTTTTCCTACAGTCACTATAAAGCATATAAATAATTAGTCTTTCAAACACTATACAACACGTTTTTAGGTTCAGCTGGCAACACAAATGGTGCCCTAGAGAAAGTAGTACCCGCGGTCCGTATCACTCCGCTATTTTTCCTCGGCAAGAAATGTGCTCCGCGTTTTGAGAATATAGTTCCGTATGTTTTTGTAATTTGAAGTGGTTTCCGCGCCTAAAAAAAATGCTTTAAAGGTATTTTCTTGTTTATTAAGATCGTAGGAATGTTTTAAAAACGTTTAAAAGAAAAGTCAAGAAAGTTCAGAAATACCGAAACTATAAACACAAAATGACAGGTTAAATCGTAGTTATAATAGTCAATCAGCTGCTCATAGTATTATTATCTTTAAGTGTTGCCAACCTATTTCCAAGCGTACACGGATTACGTGCATAATAGAGCCACACTGTTTTGTGTTGTTTCGTTGGAATCCTGATGTGCGTCAAAGTAAAAACCGTACGACAAAGTATAAATATGCAGCAATTAGCAGCTTTCTGTACTATAAACAGTACAAGGAAGCCAAATTTGCCGGGTGACTGTAGGAAAAAGTCTTTTATTGCAAGTATTCTTCTAACCTAAAAAAATTCACAAATATGGTTAAGTTATGTTCATGGGGGGTGTGGTGGGGGGGGGGGGGATTCTAGGTGGCGCTGATTCGGGTGTTCACTTAACTCTGAAAAATTCCAAGAACCGGCCCTAAACATAACCTAAACAAATAACAGAGAAATGTAAAAAATAGGCTTATATGGCTTATATAGTGTTTAGTTATTTCAAATCCCACGCAACAAATTTAAAACAGTGCAACAATGATTAAGTAGGTTTTTGTCAGAACTAGTGGATTTTTTTAGAAGTGACAATTAACAGTCCTGCTCAGTGTTTTCCCAGCAAAGGTTTTTACCAAAATAACAGGGTAAAAATTTTAATTTACTTTTTTTAGTTGTAAGAAGTTATTATATAAAACACTAAAAGTTTTCAAAATTGCACAAAACTCTTAGGAATTGATAATGATTAATTTTTATCCAGAGGTTAAAATAGTAAAATTCAAAAGTTTAAAATAACAAGATTGCTATAAGAATTTTACATTTCACTTTGTTTCATTCCAAAATGGTTGGCACCATCTAGCAGATAAGCCAAATTATATCAGGTAAGAGGTCTTGACTCAGTGGCACTCAAAGGGTTATTTTAATCTGTATTTATTATTAATATCACACTTAAACAGATGTTCAAGCTCAATTTTGATTCCCCACAGCTTTTTTTACTTTGTGAATCAGTTTTAGTATAAGATTGTTTTGCTTTAGTTCCTGTTCCGGGAAAAGTTGGAGGGAGCAGAAGAAGCTCAGCTTCTCGGAAAAAACCTTATGAGCTGGACACCTATGGACTGGTCCCACTACCCGCGAAAGTATGCTATTACTGTAAGAAGTAAGTTATTCCACACAACTAAATTGATTGTATACACAGATTTTTATTTACCTAACTTAACCTAACGCATAAGCGATGCCAATGTGTGTAGAAGGAGTTACCACAAGTCACAAAAATAATTAAATCTAAGGCTTACCTTACGATCCAATTTACTTTATAGCGGAGACCTAAGTTTCTACATCGAAACGTCGTCAGTCCTTTGTCTCATAGGTTAGCTAAACTTGTTGTTTGCCATCTCTTACTTGAGATATTGTGGGGGGTTTTTTAAATGCAGGCATGTACTTACTGCTAATTTTATTGTAACGGAAATAATTCTGTATCTTCTTAATATATTATTGTTCATGCAGAGTTAGAAATTCTCCATTTTTACACTTGAAAGAGACAAAGTGAAACAATATGCATTACTTTAAAAATCTTATAGAAGACTTAACTGTTGCGTGTTATAAAGCAATGTAATTACCATACAAATGCTTTTTCTTTGACTTTTTAAATGTCTAGCCATTACTGATGCTCATTACAAAAACATTTCTGTGTTTTAGTCATGTAACCAATAGGAGACACACATAAGTACCAAATGATCATTAAATAATTAGTGAAACGAAGACAAGAACTTAACATTGCGGCCCAGTGGTGAGTCGGCTACATGCTGGCTAAGAGCTCTTTCTCTCTCTCCCTTGGTCTGTCTCGTACATTAGGGATATATGATAACTATCAGTCTGCCCACGGCCGGGCTCCAATAACCATCTATCTAAAAGATTTTCGAATATTTGTAATCTACAAGGTTAGGGATGATAAAATTATTCGGTAATTTTTAAAACCGTCTTTGAAGGAGGATTAGAGTCATGAAGCTTGTTTTGACTTAATCAATTGAGGTCTTGTAAATTTATCCCGGCCATAACTGAATTTAAATATATTCTATTTACTTATGTATTTTGTAGATGAAAGAATGTCTACACTCATTGGACCAAACCACAGACCACATTTAATAAATGTAGCATTAGCTTTAAAAATAACCTGGTTTTTGTGACCAATTTGTTTTTTTGCGATGAATACTGTTAATTCTCCAATATTGCTTATCGACTGAATGTTGATGTCACAAGAATTACTTCCGAACTTTGAAATCACAGTATAAAGCAATTAATTTACATCATGTGGACTTTGCCCCGATTATAAAAACTATACATCGTGAGAAAATACTATTCTTTTATAAAATTAAACGTTTGTTAATCGCATGAGTTTGATATTTCTAAATTCTTATACACCTGCAAAGTCGGATTCCTTTTTGAACTAACTTTGTGGGCTAGAACAGTGATGAAAATCTAGAAATAGAAATGCTTAAGTTTGAAATGTGATTAAATGTGTTGATTTTCAGAAGCTGTGCAAAGGGAATACTCCTAGCGTGTGACTATTGTCCGCTACTCTATCATTTAGACTGTCTCGACCCACCTCTAACTTTCGTGCCAACTGGAATTTGGATGTGTCCTAACCATCCCCAACATTTAATTGTGAGTTGGTTGCCATCAGATCTGTTGTCAGTTTATAATTGTAAAACAGAAACAGTTTACAGGGTTGGTACGGTCAGGGAATTTTGTTGGTCTAAGTCAGGGAATTAGGAAAAAAATCTGGAATTTCTCCTGAAAGACTACCCTTTTACAGATATGCTACATTTTGCTCTAAACATGTTTTTGTCAGGGTGATGACTAATGGCAAAAAGAACGACATAAACAATGATGCTAATTTTTATATCGATAGTTATTTATCGGTACAGGGTGAAGAATCAATATGTTTATAGTTTGAAACAAGTTTTGTATTTGGGAGTGATTTGATGCTCGTTCACTCAGCACCAGTATTTGTATGCGATCTGGTGAATGGAGGAAGTCAGTGGGTCAAAGCAAGCTGAGCGGTCATTCACCTGCCACCAAACCTAGGCTTGGATTTTAGTAAGCGAGCTATTCGATCACCCTCTGATCACTGGTTTTTAACGTACCCAGTACCGCAATGTGTGGAAGGATAGGCCTACATTCATCGTTTCGATTTCAAAACGACACTGAATACAATTCCTCATTGAATTTATACCAATACTGATTAAACCTTTAATAAATCTAAAAAAACTTACATCACTTGTAGGAGTATTTAAAAAATATTTATCCTGTGAATTGAAACAGTTAATAGTTTAGTTTGGTACTACTTATTGTCTCCAGTACAAGCATGATAGTTATTTTTCAAACATCACTATAAACCAAATTATAAGTATCGAAATCTATCAGTATCGGAAGCATCGCATCGTATGTCTGTCAGTGTCAAGGCCAAGTAGAACATAATAAAGGTTAGTTAGTACTCTTACTTTTCCAGACGTTTAATTCTTTTCTCATTGACTTTAAAAGTGAGACATAGACTGAATTTACTTTAAATAACTATTAAATCTCAAATAAGTTAAACATTTACATTTTAGATTAGTCAATATCAACTTACGTATACCTAAAAAATGTATAATATCAGTCTGGAAAACCTGGAAAAGTCAGGAAATTCTATTTTCCATATTTAGTACTAACCCTGGTTTAGTATTTCCTGCTATAGTATGTCTTTTAAGATATACGGTAAAACCTCACTAACTTGACACCCGGTAGCTCGACAGTCAACAGCTGACAAGGTGCACGCAGAAAAAAGCAATTCCTCAGAACATTTAGTTAGTTGTTGAATATTCAACTCTTCTTTGAAGATTGTTTTCTCAGTATCTACAAATACTAACACAAGTTATAAATAGGCCTATATGTAAAAATTAGTCAGTTATGAGGCTCTTTCAAAGAACCTGGTTTGTATGTGAATATAACGTTTTGAATTAGAGGTGGGTATTTGAGTGTTGAATAATTACTTGTTTTCTTTTAGTTTTTGGAATTACTCGACTTTTGACAAATACTCAGGTTTAAGTCGAGTAGTTCAAACAACTCAAAAAACAAGCCAAACAACTTGGCTGTGATAATTAATATATTTCCTCAGGGTATACAAATATATTTCTCTTGATGCAATATATCAAAACTGATTGTAAAATGGATTCAATATATTTTAAAATCAATTTATAGTGGAATGATGCAAAATTTCTTTTACCGGTAGAATACCAAATTCAACATTGTCAAATACTTATTTATAGTTTTCAAACCAGGAAAATATTTAAGGGTCAACATCCATTTTGAATTCAACAAAATGTAAAACTTTTTAATCTACATTGAATGTTATAGGACGAAGTACTTTGGAATGGGACAGGATTTTCAGAAAGAGTCGCACTGTGGGAGAAATATGGAATCAATCAAGTTGACGAACATAAAGTGAAGATTGACTTTTTGAGGAAAGTCCACTCACGAAAATATCATCCGTTCCGTGTCAAAACCAATAACACCTTGTCCATTCAGGTACGTAAAACTTTGATAGCCTAACTTTCAAAATATTGAATAATTTTTTTAGCTTGTTTTTACAGAATTTTACTGTGTTGATCTGCTGTGTTCGGTAACTCCTTACCAGAAATTGCTAGTTTGATTCCGACCACCTGTCAATCTAATCACTGTAGTCCACTTTGGCTCGACCAAGTTGACTAAACTGTATTATAGTTTAATATGTTTAGATTATTGTACGGACCAGTAGGTCAATGGGGATGGACAGATTAGGGTAACAAAAATCTAGCATCTAGATGAAAATTACATAAACCTGTGTTCAAGGTTTTTCATATCTTGACCTTTTTACGTTCTCCCCCTATACATAGTAAAACCTCTTTTTATATATATTATATTATATATTCTAATAAAATCTCCATTTTTATTTTTTTTTTAATATGGAGAAAGTATTGTTTTTGTCAAAATTTTTGAGTTTGAGTTTTGAGTAGATATATCCGTTTTGGGTACCCCTGAACCCAAAAAAGTGGTTTTCGAGGTGAGTGTGTGTGTGTGGATGTATACAGAGCTACAGACCACACCTGTAGTCCGATTTTGATGAAATTTGGTATGTAGCTACTAATCTATGGTATCTCCCAAGTGTGTTTTTAATTTTTTCAAAATTTTGATTTTTAATGGTGATTTTCCCCAAAAAACCATAAAAACGTAAAAATCAGACTTTCTCAAAAATGCCCCGAACAATTTTGATAAAAATGTAGTATGTTATAGTCCTTTAGACTCTGAACAAAATGGTACAAATCCCATTTACGTAAAAATTACAGTTAAAAAGCCATTGTTATTTTCTCATTAAAAAATCCCATAAAATAACAACAAATCGGATTTTGGAAAAAAAGCTGGTTTTGATTAAAATTAATGTGTTATGGTCCTTATAATTTTAAACAAAATAATGCAACCCCCTATTGCTGTAAAAATTAGGGTTCAAAAGTTATTGCAACTTTTGTGATTTTTCCCTACTAAATTATCATAGTTACTCCCACCACTTACCCATGATAAAGGTTGTTGACAAGCTTATGGGAGAAAGTATGTCAGATTGCTGATACCCTTTGTTTAATATACTTGCTGTGTTTTTGTGTTTGCTGTTGTGTTGTTGTGTGTACTTGCTGTTTGTGTACTTGTGTTGTTTTATATATTTGTTGTATAATAACCTCATCTTCTACGCCTGATTTTTTTAGCCTATATTTTTATTAAAAAACATTAAGTAATCACAGAAAAAAACATTTTTCTTTGGTTTTAGGTTCCAGAATATGTAAAGGAGGCCTACAAAAATCCAATGCCGAAAGAGTTTTCACCTAGAGATCTATTAAGAGCCTCCATAATTTATCAAAGAGAAGTCGAAAACATGAAAATTGAAAAAAAGAAAAAGGAGCATCTTGCCACCCCTGAAGAGCAGGAGTTGGTAAGAACCTCTGACCATGAATTATTGTTTGAATCCTTGCAGGTTGCTTTCCATCCGTCGTAAATGACTCAATATCACATGGGTTATCGAAAATTATTGATGTCTCCATCGAGCTCCTGTCGCAGCCATTGAGCTAGTTCAAATATGAGAGACCAAGTTAGCTTTCTTTTCTTCATTCACTACTGTTATAGCCAGTTCCCCCACTTGTGGGACGATTAGTCTGGTCATAGTATCAGAAAATTGATGTTCCTGCCAAAATCAATTCTCGTTCTGTGATTACTTTTCCGTGGTCTGAGTCGTGAACCACTACTGTAGTCCATCACCTATTGTAGTCGTTCACGTACATGAATTGACCTACTGTGTTCCTTGCTTTACCTACTACTATTCTAGCTGGTTCCCAGCAATATATAGGACAATAAACCCTTTCATAGTAGCCTATTTAAAAAAAAAAATGAAAGAAAATTAACGTGCCTGCCAAGTACAGGGTAATAACCGGCAGAAACAGGATGTTTTTATTTTTAAATTAGCATTACTAACTTTTTTTGCTGTCAATTGCGATTGATTTAGTTGGAAATAAACATATGTATCGTTCATCAAACGTTGCTACGTCACTTACATAAAAAAAGTGCTGGAGCATATCAACACTTAGAAAATTTGTTTTAACCAAAGCTTGACAAACGGTTTCAATATTTACAGCGTCCTAGCAGTATTTGTCGGCCAAGCCTTCTTTTTTCTTTAGAATCGTATTTTGGATGGAAATGATTACATAGCGTCTAATATGAGAGGGAACTAACAAAAATTTGCTACGCTACTGTGATAGGTTCGCCATTTTGTACTCATCAAAGGCAAACGTACGGTTTTACCGTCTCATGCTCAATTGCTTTTAAAATGGCATAACATACAGCAAAGAATGACAAAAGAATGAAAAGCAAAGTTATTGACCTCCCTCCTCATGACAATAACTGTCATGATTATAATTTGATGATCTCAGTACATTGCCAGTTTACGAATAAGAGTAAAATGTTTGGAAAATGTCTGCAAAGGGTGACGGGAGGTTGAAGGTGGTCTTAAGCATTTGCACGATGTTTTACATGGTGTAGACTGACTGATGTTGTTTATCAGTATCATTTGCCCAAAGTTAGAGGATTTCTGCTTGAGGATCGTTGTGTGATTGAACAAGGGAGGTTATCAAGTTCAATCGTTGTAACGATATGAAAAGAGATGAATACATACATGCTGCCTGCCTTGTTTTGCGAATATGTAAGGGCTTCTACACTCCCCAAGCCACTAAAGCACATAATCTCTGCATACACATCTGTGTACTGGCAACAGAACACCAGGGATTGACACCTTCCCTACTGAACAAGATTCATACTAGGCGGGTGTGTCAATTTTCTCACAACGTTTTTTACTATAACGAGATTAATCGTTCCGTAAAGGTGAGAACCAGAATAGTAGTGAATTAAGTAAGGAACACGTTTGTTTTGGTTTTCAACTAGCTAGCTTGATTGTGACGGAAGCTCGATAAAGACCTTAATTTACAAACAACCATCTAATATATAGAGCGTTATCTCTTGTCACGATGTCCTGTACAACATATTTTTGTTCCAGTTGGCTTCAAAGTTTTGAGCAGACACAAATTATTTGTATAAACTCGCCACAATGTATGTTTATTGTTTATTTGCATTTACACATAATTTCATTGTTATTTCTTGTATACAATACTTTAATACTTTCTTATTAAATGGCGACCATACAAAGTAGGTATTTTAAGCCAAGTATGAATGGAGATAATTGTAGGATGAGTGGCGCGATCTTGTAGTCTTGTTAGTGACTAAGGCCGACATTCCTTAGAAACAGCTGTTAATTAATAGCCCATACAGCTAATGGCAACCTAAGGGACCTACAGTTTATTGTGGAATCCGAACCACATTTTTGCCTTGGTATATACGAATTGGTTTAATTATCAGGATAGTACTGCGGATAGTTGTAGTACTCACTCGTGTGGACGTTAATCCACACCAGGGAGTATCACATCCACAGTGCATGCCTATAAATATCCACAATTCGCGACCTCCTAGTAGCTGGATTACAGGACGACGCCACCCGTTCCAGTCATATAATGCATATAATACATATAATGCACATCATTTCATTGTTGTTATTTCTTATATACGATACATGTAATGTCGCTATTTCTGAATAAAATTTATTAGATTTGTTTCAAACCTTAGAGACACTGAACAGCCGATAGTGTTATAAAAATAAAACTTCCATGAAATTCATCTGTTTTGCATTTAATTTTTCTTATAAATTATTTTATCATCAATTAACTATGTAGTTGCTTTGTATTAGGTTTGTTTTTTGCGCTCAATGAGTAGGAACTAGGCAGGACAGCTAACTAATGTCAACTTCTGCTTCTGGGCTTTCCTACTTTAGGAGAAAACTATTTAAAAACTAAACTACTGTAGTGTAATAGGCTTGATCTTCCATAGAACGGAACAAATGAGGATCGAACAATTTTCTTTCCAAGCACTTTCAAGCTATCTTTTCACATGGTATAATTTTACTTTTAATATTAAAAATAAATTTCTCTATTTGCAAGATATGCTATTGCAACTATAACATCACCATAATAATTAAAAGTACAATTTTACAGGCAATAAATATGGCTATACAAATGAACTTGGATGCCCTTGTCAACCTACGGAAAAATGAAAAAAGTAAAAAAGCTACATCAACAAGTAGCAAAGAGACTCTAGAATCCAGAAATGGTCTGGAAGAACCATGCGAGAAAATGATCAATGGAAATGACAAAACTTACCAGGAGGATGCTGCTACAACAGATCAAAAAACTTCTCTTAGACAAATAAAAGATCCGGTACTCCTTCTAGACGAACTCACCGCCTTTGTTAACAATGAACTCAAGACTTATGGTGATCATAATGGCGAGATAGATACAAGCTCAGAGATAGATGAGTACAGGTTGGACCAAATAAACTACGAAAAACTGTGAGTAACATATTAAGCATCTTTCCAATGCCAAATAGGTATATGTCAATGCGAGTAAATCTTAATCATCCGATTATTTGTTTGTTGCTTCAGAAATATTAATTATTTGTTAAAACTTTTTAAACTTTAAAATAAAGATTGAGAGGAAAAAAAAACAAACAACAAAACAACAACAACAAAAAAACATTATATCTATCGATTGTTCTATGTTTGTTTTCTGTTACTTTAATTTGCATTTGATTTATTAAATTGTTATTTTCAGCAACTCCATCAAAGTTGAGAAAGCAAAGTGTAAAGCTGATAAAAAGGATGAAAATGAAACCACAAAAAGTAATGGTAAGTTACAGAGTTTTTTTTTATCTCTTCACATTTAAAACTACACAAATTTCAAATCTGCAAGTGTCAGTACCATCTTTTCATCGTCGTTACTGCCACAGCATCACAAATTCTTGACAATATACCAATAAAATAATATTATCGTTATATAAAATAACATGATATAAAAATAATATTAATTTTGTTTATTGCCTTCCAGATCTTTCATAATTTTTATCTACAAGAGGCTAAATTAATTATGTTACTGTCCAAGCAATCCTGAAATAGTTTGCTAGTGACCGGTTTCGACATCTAACTTATGGTGTCATTTTCAAGTGGAAAGACAAACATTATTCACTCGTAGGAGGTTGTCATAATTATTATAAAACACACACTGTTATAAAATGATATGTTGTATCTACCAGTTGTGTAACTTAAAATTATGCATAGGAATCGTACCTTTGGTAAAATGAACACGGCTTCAATTTCAAATTTTAAAGTAAGTTCCTTTAACACAATTGGTGTTGTGAAACGAATCGTTAATCTCTTGATTATATTCTTTCAGCTCAAGAAAGAAGTACCCCCGAAGAATCTGCTAGTATTAAAAATGTTAAAGAGCCAAAAGAGAAACAAGATAACAAAGAAAATCTAGAGTCAAGAGATGATCTAGACAAGCTTGGTATGCTTACAATTTCTCTACTTGTGTTGTTTATGATTTGTGTTCGCTACTAATTATTTGTGACTGAAATTGATATTAAATCAAGTCCATACAAATAATGCCGATAATTTTTTGGGATTTTCTAGCTATAATTGGAAGACAAAAATAATGATATAGCCTAAGTGGTATATAATGGAATAACAAATATAATGGAATAACAAAAAGATGAAAGGGGGAGATGCAGTTTTTAACGTTTAACCTCCACTTTCATTATACAAGTTGTCCTGCTAAATGCAGACCCAGATTGCACATTTTTGCATCCAAACTATTCAAACGAATCACGAAAAAGTTTGCAAGACGCCCAGTATGTATCAAAATAATTAAATAACTTCTGCTTAAAATTACAGTATCAAAATAAAAGTAAAAATCTCAACTTTTGTTAGGAGAGGTTATAAAAATTGATTTTCATCAACAGCAGCAGTTTGTTAATGCAGTTCTTGCTTTACATCGTTTTTTTGTTTTTGGGACTAATTTACCATAGTGAGAAAGCCTGTACAAATGTAAACATCAGAAAGTAGGTCCTGTTTGAAATAATTTGGCCTAATGTTTTTCTCACCCAAATATGAAATAAATTAAAACCCATTATGAGAAATAAACCTAAAAAAGGTAAAGTACAAAGTGAATACAGTGGACAGGTTACACATAATCATAACCATAATCCATTGATCCACACATGAAAACAGCGGTTTTATTTTTCCTTTTTTAATTTTCATTAAAATATTAGCTCTTTGTTCCTTTCCCTCTTGAAATTTAACTCATTCCAAGAGTTGTGATATTCATAAACTAGCTGCTTAGGAAAGACTTGTTTTCAAGAGTATAGAAAATACGAATAGGCAACAAAACAAACACATTCCAGGACACTCATTTATTATGGCCTCATTTTATAATGCCAAAAGTTTGGCTGACACAAATTAATAGTCAATGAATATTTAAAGGAGGTAAACGCTAGTGGAATTGGTAATTAAAAACATGTACCATCCTCCCTATATTTGCTTCTGTATTTGCAGCTGTAGAAGACTACGAGGAGATCATAGAATCCTTGGACATTAAGGTCTTAAAGTATCTAGCTGCAAAACAGCTTAGACAGCAGCTCAACGATAGTAAAGAAGATTCCTCCAAGATCTCAGTCGACGATTCCTCCAAGATCTCAGTCGACGATTCCTCCAAGATCTCAGTCTACGATTCCTCCAAGATGTCAGTCGACGATTCCTCAAAGATCTCTGAGAAGAAAGGAGATAATTCCTCAAAGATCTCCAACGATGATTCATCAAAGATCTCCGTAATCACAAATGGTACCGCTGAGATGGAAATTGAAGAAGGGCCAAAGACAAATGAAAAGCCTGTTGAGTCGACATCAAACATCCCTGGCCATAACAAAGCTGCTGAGGTGAACCTGTCCCAGGAGACTCTTAGGCCACGACTCCCGCTAGACATTCTCCTGACGGATCGTCCAAGGAATATCAACTTAGAAGTAAGTTCACCAACTTGAGACTTGATGGAATAGTAACACCAATAATTAGAGTTAAAAAAATAGTGTGATCACAATTAGCTACCATAGCTGTATAAAAAATACATGTAGGCCTACATCATTGAAATGTATCCATAAAAATCTGTTAATTTTCTTCAACATCTCGATATGATTTTGCCGCCCATAAATATATTTGTAGAAATATAGAAACCCAAAATTATGTATTTTGCAAAAATTCATTTGCCTAAAGCACTGAAGGTTTATAGTTAGCACGATAACACGGGTGAAAAAGGTCAATTTTTATAAAATTTTGTACAGAAGTGTAAACCTGTGTATATTAACACGTTCCCTGCGGCCCACCAATGGCAGGCGTAGCCTCGGTGTGGTACAGAGTCGAGCAAACCCTTTTAGCTTGAAAATATTTCAGTCTGACGAATAGCAAATGTCGTGCAGTGATGTGCTGTGTTATGACGAAAGTCATCGTAGTTTGCTGAAACATTCAATAGCAGCACTGTCTGGAACTATTCGGTCCCTTTGTATTGCCAATTGAAGGGAGAAAGACGGAACAACAAGTTGATTTCTAAGCTTGTCAGAAGGGGATTTTACAGGGAAATATACTACCAGCCTACACCACAATAAAGCAGCACCCATTCCTAGCTAAACGCAGACATATAAATGTCCATTATTTCCGATGTACTGCTGCGGAGAAATTAAATGGAATCGATGCCGGCACTCACAGGTGAGAGTTCAGAGTGGCAGAAAGGAACTAGAGCACTCACTGGTGAGTGGCCCTCAACGTGTTAAACGGGTTCCCAAACCAGCTTGATCAAACTATGAGAATTGGAGTATATTAGGCGAAAAAGGGGTTTATTTGCATTTATGATTGTTTTACTATTTCCCAGCTTGTATTAAATTGTGTTTTTGTATTTCTAGGCACGTATTAGATCCAGAACGCAGGGTGTGCTTCTTACTCTCCCTCACCTCAACTTTAAAGTAGAGGTGCCTTCAAATGGAAATCATGTGGTGATAGGAAAAGGTACTGATCATAGAGAATTTTTCAACAAAAACTTACCAACAACCTAGTTTTTAGTGAGTGAATAGGTAATATTTTCAAGTCCCCAAAGGCTAACATATCGCTCATCAAGAGTTGTATGACAGCCAACATATCGGCCATCAAGGGTTATGTAACAAAAACTACATGATTCTATTTGGGCTCAAGTAACTCAATGAAAATAGCCAAAAACTGGGCCAGGTATGTGCTTCAACCTGGGAGAAAAGTTTTGTTTTCAGTTTACCACAATTATCAGTGTGGTAGACAAAATAGTCTGATCAGTAGCCAGATGGTCAAGAGAGCTATCTTCCGAGCTAGGAAACATCACTAAAGTCAAAAGTTTTAATGGGACACAAGTTCTAGAATGCAAGTTTGAGATCTCGCCTGTGTTTCAGAGTTCATGCATAATAAACAGCGAATACATAGTTAAAGTACTGTAGTAGTAGTATTGGCTAAAACTAATATTAGATAAAGAAGTTTAAACGAGGGTTGTCTGTAAATTAAGCTCTCGCCATAGTCAATTATACAATAAAAGGTTAAATTACCTGTGTCCGCCAGTCGATCCTTATGTGCTGTGTCCTATTACAGGAGATGCATTTCGGCAGAATAAATTGCCATCATCAGTCCTAATATAAGATCTTGATCTTCCCCATTGGGTACGTCTTGAAGTTTTGAAACACGTACACGAACTTTACACTTATATACATTACGAATAAAACAAACAAATACACGGTAGGCCTACTTTTATTTTAGTTAATACGGACATGTAGACGCGCGTCGGTCGTGTGTCGAGTCGATAGGTAGGCCTACCGTGTATTTGTTTGTTTTATTCGTAATGTATATAAGTGTAAAGTTCGTGTACGTGTTTCAAAACTTCAAGACGCACCCAATGGGGAAGATCAAGATCTCATATTAGGACTGATGATGGCAATTTATTCTGCCGAAATGCATCTCCTGTAATAGGACACAACACATAAGGATCGACTGGCGGACACAGGTAATTTAACCTTTTATTGTATGTCATACCGATCCGGAACAACAACAAACAACATAAAATGAAATAGTCAATTAGGTTAGCTCAAATCTGAAATCAATGCTGTGTTCCTCCCTTCATCTACTACTACTACTCCAGCCCGTTCCCACCCCCATGGCAAGATTAGTCTTGTCTTTGTATCCAAAAATGTTGTAAATGATACAAGATACAAGAACTTTATTGTTAGTCAAATACATAATGTGGTAAATTAGTATCTCCTAACTCGCCAATTAATTCAAAATCTAAACTTAAACAATAAAATCAACACCACCAAATATGGAATAGTTCAGTGATTACAGTTGTCTATTAAAAGAGGGTAAATTCCTGTTGATTACTGTTACCAGTTGACAGAAGTGTCGAAAATAAGCTTTGAAGAAAATCCATTAGTGTCTTAGTGAGTTTGCAAAAGGCCGAAAACATTTGCTTAACGGGGGTATTAGCAGCAAGTGTTCATCAGTTCGCATTAAGACAGATGGAATCTGAGGAAACGTTCTTACTGATTGGTGTGTCTCAGACTTCCAAGGCTGTCTGTAGCCCCTATTAGTTCACCAATCTTTCTCGCTCAATCATACAAAAACCCTTGTATATCTGATTTTAGAATAGTTTAAATAGAAAGATTTAAAATATAACATATTTTTTTTGTAGACCTTGTTAGGATAAAGGAATAGTTTTTTAACCTTTACTGCTGTGCAAATAATTTCATTCTATTTCAGATTATCGTCTCGCTAACCCCCTCTTTCTGTCTCTTGCTGGATCGAGTTGTACACGTATATCTAATGCGCATGCTTCAGTATTTTTCTGTAAGGTAAGTTATGACTAATAGTTGAAGATGACTTTCAGTTTGAAAATTGTTTATTGAAATTTAAAATATCTTAGTAACAAATCTATTGAAACATAGTGTAATTTAATTATTTTCCCAAATAAATATAAACTCGGAGACTAAAGTTTTACCATTATTAAGAATAGAATTTTTTATGGTTTTGCTTTCTTTTATGCTCGTCTGGTGGTATTGAAATTAGAGGTGTGCGGATAGTGAAATTTAATTTCGGATCAGATAGTTGAGGCTCGGTTCGGATCGGATCGGATATTGGGAGGTTCGGATTCGAATAGTTCGGCGCGGTTAATAATAAGCTGCATATGTATTTTTAAGCTATAATAGTTATTTGTGCAACTAGTGAGAAAAGTGAGCAATTGACTCACTCGAGAGAAATCCTTACTCACGAGCCGTAGGCGAGTGAGGAATGGTTTCTCGAGTGAGGCAATTGTACTTTGAACTCGAGTTGCACATTATACTTTTCCTTCAGTTACCATAAAACAAATAAATTTGTGAAGAAACATAACCTATATTTACACAGAATTGAACTTTTAATATAACATTTAATGTGAAGTGACAATTACATCAGTACAACAGCTGACCAGCTGATTTACTGCCAGTGCTGCCAACGTATTTCGCGCGCATACGACGTTGCCTGCATGTTACGCGCTCACTATTTCGTGCCTTCACGTTGCAAATCTGGAGTGAGACAAAGTAATTAGAGTGAGACAATGTTAACATTGTCTCACTGATGAGCGAATTGGCCACTTTGCTTTCTCAAATCAGTGAGAGAACATGTACATTGTTAGGTAACTATAGGAAAAACAATGTAAAGCTGTGTAAATAAACTTAAATGACGATTTTGAACTATAGAATTTCAAATTAGCCAAGTCCACAGTTTTCTCTCTCTTGAAAATCACAATTTACAACATTTATTTTCAAAAGTTGGTTGCTTGAATTAAGTACACTATCAGCCGAAATCTTCACACAACACCTTAGCTCAGCAGGACTGATGTCAAACGTTTGGGCTTGTTTACTTGAGGTTATGTTTTATCTTGTTTCCTGGTTCTCACAAGCCAAGGAGTTCGATCTCAAGTTTATTTTCACAATGTATTTCCTTACGTTTTTGGAACGGATTATTGGCCCTAAGTGGCATTTTGCGGGTTTGCCAAGTTTAGAAAACATCACTAATGCACTAAGATGGGCTCTAGCTCACGATTTGATGTTGGGCAATTAAATTAGACTTTATAACTGTGTAAAAGGTGTGTATCCCTGAATTTATAAACTGCATTCTACACTTATTCACTGCCTAACATAATTCAGTAGAACCTTGATGAACCGAGAATTACACTAGCCTACATAACTTCATTACCCCAAGTAAAATACCAAGATAATTTTTATAATTGTATTTGAATCGTATATTCTTAGTTTAATGGATTGTATATTCAACAATAATTGCAGTCCATTATTGTTAAGCAGTATGGTCCCAAATTATTGTTTTTGATTTTGAAACATCACAGTTCATTTGACAAAATTATAGTTGAAGCAGCCCAATGTCAAGTCACGCTTGTGCAATAGTTTGTTTACAAGCTTTCTCCAGACCACGGGGGAGGGGAGGGTCTGATAAGCCGTCTATTGTTCACCCCGTCTATTGTTCACCCCCAAGAAGGTCCGACCCTCATTAGTGCCGTCCGGCTGCACTCAGTGGGGAACCCAATACCACAAATCAATCTTTTAAATGAATACAAATATTTGGTAATAATTGTTTTATTAATATTCACCTTGAAATTTCAAAAATTTGGTGTAAAATTTGACAAAAATCGGCCATTTTGACCGATTATTAATACAGTACCAAATACCCATAAAGTAGTGCATTCATTGGTAATTAAATAATAGGTAAAAATTAACCAATTTTCGTCAAGTTTTACCCCCCTGCTGTGCGCTATGTCACAAAAGCTGATAACGACATGGGTGATTAGTAACCATGGCAACTTGTTGAATGCGTGATGAAGGGAAACCCAAGAAATAGAAGAACAAAGAGGAAGAATAACGACGTTGTTATCTTTATACCCTTTTTACAATTTCCGTTATTGTTATCTTTATGTAAGATTTTATGATTTTGTTTTATAGGTTTATAAAATAATTATTTTTAACTACGGGAATATCAATTTATAATTTATCAACATGCTTCTCTTCTGAAACAGCAATACCGGATGCATAATAAAGGTCAATGACCTAAAATATCACGATTGTGCAATATTGTATTTTGATGTTGAAATTGAAATCACGACAAAAGTTTGTATATCCATGGTCCCTATAGTTTAATCATTTAATATGTACACAATGAATGCTAAATAAGCGTGGTTAGTTCTAACTTTATTTTTTATTATTCAAAGTTTCTACACAGTAAGACAATCCAAAGTCAAACCGGGCAATGAATACCCAAAAAACAACGTATCTTGTCCTGTGATTGGAATACCACTCGCCGGCCAGTCCTTTAGGTTTAGGGAAGTAGTGCAAGTCTATATATAGCTTCAAGGTCTTACCCACCCCTTCCCCCTCCGGTCCTACTTGACTCACTACCCGCGCTCCTTTTGAGGTCATTGCCCAACCCCTCCCACCCTTCTATTGTGTTGCCTTTCTATTGTTTCTATTCTGACTTTTTTTTCGGGAAACATTAAATCTATTGTTTACGTAACATCACAGTAGTAGGCTAGATTTTTCTACTTTGAAACAGTACTGTAAAAAAAACTATTACGCAGCGCCCTTAGTATCAGGAGGGAGACAAGCACGAGTTGACTTTCATTTGACCATGGTAGTTCTTTTCTGCTTTATGTCTGTTCGTTCCAGACGAATCTAATTGTAAAGCAAAACAGCCGATAACGACTAAACTAGTTATCAGTATTGCATCATACGGCTTCTTTGCCGTTTGCTGTTAGGTCGTTGGAAACGTATTGCTGTAATTTTGTCCTGGGAAACTAATGGTGGCTATGGAGATTTAGTTTTCTGTCCAAAACGTCAAAATATATTGTCTATCCGAAAAAGTCGGATATATAACGGATAGTGTCGGATATCGAATTTGGGCCCGGTTCGGATACGGATATCCGAACCGAATCTGACCCGATTTTTCGGATATCCGCACACCTCTAATTGAAATGCAAAAACATATAATAAAATTATTTTTTATTATATTAGAAGTGAAACTTATTCTTACAATGCCTTTTAAACACAGAGTGTAATTTTTTTCAGAACACAAGGAAATACTGGCTTAAAAACTACAGCCATTTTGGCACTGTGGTCGATCACATCATGTGTGGCTTAAACATGAAACCAAACAGAAAGTCGGAAGAACCTAGCGAATTGAGGAAGGAAGTTGAGGCCATCAAGAGTATTAGAAATAAACGGAAGGCTTTAGCGACGCAGATAAAGCCGGTGAACATCCACGTACCAGAAGATGTTGCTGTACCCTCAACATCTACTGCCAACCCTACGACAGTTGTAAGTAGACAATATATTTATTTTAAAAACAAAGTATTGAAAATTCCGATAGACTTCTTCTAATCTGTAGACTCGGTTGTCAAGGAAATCATATCCTGTCACAGAGTACTCTGGCAAAAGGTTTTCTAAACTTGGCCAACTTGGATTTTATTTTAGACAGTGGCAGTACAGTTTTTGGTGTTTAAATCATTCCTGGACAGGTGGGTTACTTGGCCTAGACCAGTAAGAAATTTGGTAAATGGACTTACTAATAACATTCTGGTATTCTATATCTGTCCAGGAGAGCTGTGATAAATCTAGTTGTCTGTATCGTCTACAAGAGACTTGTTACTGAGGCACTGCAGTATTTAAAAGAAAAACTGAAAGCGAGGTCAGCCGTGAGAGGGTGGAGAACTAGACAGGACTTTTTGCTTGACATACCAAGGGTTGTTCTTGAGGCTGGTAGAAGGGGGTTTTCTTACTACGGGCCGGCTCAGTACAATGCACTTCCTTGTACACTAAAAGCACTGTCTTACAAAAAATTTAAAACTCGCCTAAAGAATTCGTAATTAAATCTTATTTGTTTGGTAGTGTTAAGAATTTTTGTTTGGCTAAGTCCTGGCAGAAATTACAAATTGAGTCAATTTGTAAAACAGTACTGACACTGAAATTCGCTCATGAATAAAGACGTTATTTATTTTTATTTATTTATTTTGTTTTCTACTTTTTGAACAGATACAAGCTAATGTTATAATAGACAGGTTGTTTTAATGGGTGCAAGGCCCGCTGTATACTTTTCCAAAGAAACAAACCTGTTCAACTGGGACTTGTTAATTTTGACTCTGATATGTTAATTCAAAGAGGAGTAAGGAACAGAGGATACACTCCATGGTACACTGCAGTGGTGTCTAGCACTAGTGCTGGTAACAACACCCCCTCACCCTCGTGTACTACAACGCTCACTATGTAGGAAGACACTCTGTGCCCTGTGCGATAGGAATTCCCACACAGTACTAGCCATTCGGGCTCTTCCTTGCTCGTCACAAGTATATTTCCGCACAACATACAGGAAGAAAGCACACGGTTGTCCCATAAACGTGTTTCCTCTGTACCTTACTTGTCTGTGGTTAATTTAAAAGTGTATCCTTATGTTTAAATATCACACTATTCCCATGTCTACTGGTCTCATATTTTCCCAGAGCTATCAACATCTATGTAACTGATTCCTTGTAATAGTTTATCTTTATTTCACAGCCTCGACAGTGTAAATGCTTCATATACCAGCCACAGGCAGGTTACGAAGGTATGATCGCCTTGACACATGGATGCTGCATAAAAATAGGATGCGTGGAACTCACATTTATGTACCTGAACCAAGTAGACCAAGTTCCTTCAAATGGTGGGCCGCCCGCTAAAAAGAGAAAGCTTGAATAAAGTCTTCATATTGTTTAGAAAAGACTAGCACACAATTGTGCCTTACAAAGTTCATTTTGCCTATTTGGAGGACAGTTTTTTACCTTAGAACTTTGATGTGTTGTAATTTTTATTGCCTCTATGAGGAGTATTTGTAAACATTGTTTTATTAGTGGAGGATTGTGTATAGATGATTTCCAAGAGACAATTTTTTACCTCAACTGTATTTTATTAGATATCTCAAAACACTGTACGTGTACACTTTCTGTATGTTTACAGAACTCGTGTTTTTTAAATCCTCCATTAGTTTTATGTGTTAAGTTTTTACCTGCTAACCCATTTGCGTCTTATGTACATAAACACTAAACAGTTGTTTTTAATGGAAGATATTTTGACTTGAGTCAGTCTAAACTTTATTTTAATTTTGTTGTTCAAAGTATAAATGAATTAAATCTTCATTCCAGCAAGGCAAATGACAAAATTGCACAAAACAAAACACACTTATTCAAAAGTATACCTCTGCAAAAGTATTAGACGTTGTAAAACTGTTTTAAATAAACGGATAAGAGATAAAATACTCACCACGCTGATGGTTAAAGTAAAGAAAAGATTTTTAATTGGACCCAAATCTAACACTTTCATAACAAAATACAAAGATTAATGTCAAGAACAACAGTTCCCCAAAATCGAGGGATTTGAATTGGTTGTATAAGTTAGTGCCAACTTAACTACTGTATTAAAAAAAATAATTTCACTCCGGAACAATAATGTTCAATTATTTATTTAGATGTTTCAAATTTCACAGAAGTAAATGGGTTAGCACAGTTTCATGTTACTTAGGTTTTTATGTTGTATCATATTTTTTTACTTAGTGGTTCCCAACCCTTTCTTCACATTACTTGATTTTTTAGTTTGTTTTACATATCACATTTAATTTTTTGTAAATTTAAAGGGAAACAGTTCAAATAGAAAAATTTAGTTTTAAGGGTAAATTTTGCAATATTGAAAAAGTACAAAAATTAATAAAAACTTGTAAAATGTTAGCAATAAACCACACTGCCGCTATAATGTAAAAAACAATCCATCTAGTTCTGAAGAAAAACTAAATTTCTAAGAAGTGAGGTTGTAGTTAGCAATCAAACGTTTGCACAAGTTGGGAACCGCTAGAGAAACAAATTAATTTGGAGTTTACACTACCTTTTTAGTTTAAACAGTTTCTTACCTAATTTACCAGTTTTCCTTGCAATTTGTTTTTGCGCAAAGGTGAATTAAAGATCAATGAACATATGTTTGTTTTGTTCTCAAGTGCAGTGTAAAAGCTAATGTTTGACTATGAACTGTCAACTTAAGCAGCTTTATAAAAATTGTCTCTATTGCTGTACAAATTATATTTATTTAATGTTACTGTTAAGTTTTGTGATATTTTTATAAATATTAGAAATTTGTCAGTCCGGTTTTTGAATAGTCCTATGTCTTGGACTGTTAATGCTAGATATTACGCATTATGCTTCCTTTATAAGATACAATATCAGGACTCTTGACTTACTATTGCTCGCCTCAAACTTATAATGTCAATCAAACCTACTCAGTATTCAATGATTCAAGTTTTGCAGTAATTCTCACCTACCATAAGTCCCCTAGGTATCGAGAATTACATTTTTTTACCTAACTTTTCTTATACAATTTAAGTTTCAGTTAAATTTTAATTTATTACTTTCTGTTTGGCATTGATCATTGTTCTATCTGTTCTGTTTTTATCGTATGATTCCTCATACTGTTTTAAGCGATTTCCACAATCATCCTGAAAATCACTCAAAAGGATCAATTTACAAATTGCAACATTGTTTCCAATGTTATTACTCTATGCCCCCATTAATTAACGAAAGATCTTCCCATTTTTATTATAATGTGTTGTAAACTAGGGTATATTGAGAATCTATAATCTTATTTATTATAATTGGTATTTCGTGTCTATACACGAAAACAAGCATAGGCTGTGATGTATCAATTAAGTAATTTAAATGTAAATTAAGAGCGTACATACAACAGTCAAGTGAATGCTTGATTGAGGGTATATAGATTTTGTCTAGACCAAATATTAACTACCCAGCCGTTTTGATAACATCAAAATTATTTTTTCAATTCACAATCTGCATGAAATGCAACATATAGAAGAAGTAAAAACAATCAAATTCCTAGGACTTATTATTTAATAGACCAAAATTTAAATTTCAACTCACATATTGAGCATTTATGTAAAAAGAACTTTCCTAAATTATTTTTATACTAAGAAGATTGCCTATGTTCTGTAGTGAAGACGCATTACTCACTGTATATCATTCGCTAATTATTTCCAATATTAGATATGCAATACCTATATGGGGCTCAACTTCATCAAAAACTAAACAAATATTTAAATTACTAAAGTCTGCATTAAGAATTATTTTCAAATTAAAACCACGCCAATCCTGTAAAAAATATTTAAAAATTACCAATTTATGACCTTTTACTCAATTTATATTTATGAAACATTACTATTTTTAAAGAACAACTTTGAGAAATTCTGGAAAATGATGAATTTTGTGAGAAGAATTTTATGAAAAACATCTTTACTACAATGGAAGAAAATTATTTAACAAACTATCAACTAATATTGGAAACTTAAAATTAAAAGAATAAAAAAAACTAAAAGAAATCCTTACTGAAAATCCAATCTACTCTATTGAAGACTTCAATGAAAAATGCATCCAAATTTAAAGAGTTTGATTTAATATTAAATCTAATTGTACTGTCGATACAATTTATATTGTCAAGACAATCAAGTAATTATTTATTTTATTTTATTTATGCTAATATCAAAAGGAATTATTCTGCAACAGCCAAAAATGTGTGCCCTCTACTTCAATATGCTATGCAGTAAAATTATTTGAAAATAATATTACCACTTTATAAGCACTTTTTTAAGATATTGCAGTGAATTTCGACAGCCTTTGAAAATAATTGTTTGTTCCAAAAAACATTTTACGACTAAATGAGTTTTTAACTCTTAAACATTGTTGAGTCCAGTTGGACTGATAAAAAGCTCATCTATTGTGGCGTGGAGGTAAATAGTCTTTAACTTAACTCTTAAACGTTGTTGAGTCCAGTTAGACTGTTAAAAAAGTATCTATCGTGACTTGGAGGTAAATAGTCTTGAACGTTGTTGAGTCCAGTTAGACTGTTAAAAAACGTATCTATCGTGGCTTGGAAGTAAATAGTCTTGAACTTAACTCTTGAACGTTGTTCAAGTCCAGTTAGACAGTTAAAAGACTTTATCTATCACAGCTTGGAGGTAAATATTCTCATCCAAATATTTCAATATTTTTTGTCCAAATATAAAAACCTTATATGAGAATTTTACTTAAGTGATTTTACGTTTTTCGAGCATGTAGCAAATCTTTTTCATCCTTAAAAACATCCCCAGTCCTCTTAAACACTCAATAACTTCAATCTTTTATCTATAACTTAAAACTAACTACCGTACCATATATGAGTACAAGGACCCTACTATTACGGTGCTTCACTTCCCCAAACACATTGATTGATGGTGAATATCAGAACGGCTGGCAAATCTAGTTTGTGCCACTGCTCAATGTCGGGTGACACTGCTATTTTTGTTACCATCGGACTCTCTTAAGTAGTGTTGAATTCTGTATTCAAGTTTATTTAGTTATTTCACAGCAGAAGAGAATATTGCTAAGTAATAAATATAAAATTTTTTTATTTTTCCAACATCTTGCATCGTTTAAGATTTGTGCCATGTTTACGGTTGTTTTCACGACTGTCTCTCGTTTCGTTAGTTTAGTAATTTACAGTTAATGTTTCATTTTTCTATATAAGTAAGTTCAAACAATACTAAAACTTGTGTTATGACTTGATGTGGATACAAGCTTAATGTTAAGACAAGCTTGATACTTTGGGTGATAAAATAATTGTAATCTTATTTTTTGGTACTTTTTTGTTTATTTGAAACTAAATTACAGCTGGAAATATTTAAATTGAGTCGTAAAATCAAAATAGTACGTAAAGTATGTAATATGTAAAGTAATTCAAGAACAAACATTCAATTTCACGTGATCAGTATTACAACTTAAAAATATATAATATGTTTTGTATTTGCGATTGATAGATTTAAGCTTCACAATTAAAATGTCAAACTGTTTTGGTTACCATTAAATGGATTCAGAAAATTGTTTATGAAAAATGTACTTGTAAAATTAAAAAAAATTTGATCCCATAGTTGCTAGTCTTGTCTTTTATAATGAGGAGTGTATTTTTCTATTTTTCTATGGCCTACTGTTTATAGGTGAATCACTGGTAATTCAAAGTGAGTTTCAAAAGTAAGCCTGGAGACCACCAGTAAAATATTCTTGTTTAGAGAGTTTGGCTCCTTTTTATAAATTTATATATAACCACATTGTATTAGATAGTGTAAGAAAGTTGTAAAAATTGTTTAAAGTTTCTAAAAACAATATATTTCAGTGGTGATAAACATCACATTTATATACTTGAGTGTATTTTTAATATCCCCACTTAAGAGAACAGTTCTCTCCCTATACCTGGGATAAACAAAATCAAATAAGTTAGTTAAATAGTAACTTCTTGAATTATTTATACACAACTTGATAATTTGCATTAATGTTGTCAATTATTTGAGTTTTGTTTACACATTTTTTTAATGTTATTGGTATGAAAATTATAACAGACTCTCTTATAGTAGCTGTGATGTCAACATTTTTGTAGTAAATGTTGACATCATAGCTACTTTAAATTCTCAAGCTGCATAACACTAAAATTCAATTAACAGTTCATCGCTCATATTTTCTTCAGTGTCATATGGAATTCTTGTTAGGGGAAATTCGTGCCACAGGAAAAAAGATGTTAGGGCTTTAAAAGAAAGCAATCAGAATCATAGTATAAGTACACACAAGGTCATGTAAAACAATCCTCCAGGAATTTCAAGTTTTTTTTTATGAGTATATTTTAAAGACAGTACCTATTTTAAATTGCCCATTTTTTGCCCATTCAGGGAGAGACACACATCATGTATCCAACACTAGACATAAGAACTGGTTGCCTACCGATAGATAACGATACAAAGAATGAACTGATATACAAATTTAAAAAAAATACAAATCAACAACACTTTTGATGAAAAGGTAAAGGACGCATGGTCAATAGGACATAGTCAGTAGGTTGATTTGACAGTAACAAAATATTTTTTTTTTTACCTTACAATATCCTTGTTTGGTGTTGGTAGGCAACTACATGTTTCGTGGCAACTGCCACATCATCATGTTAACCTCTTCTCAGGTTCGTCATAAACTTAAAATACAAAACACTGAACACATGTAAAAAGATTTATTAGGTATTTAATTGATTATTTTATTAATATAAAGCAATATCATGAAGTAGGATGATGAATTCTGATTTGATAGTGAATGAATGACAGATCAAATTGTAAAAGCTTGTAGGAAATGTATCTAGAATTTTAATATTCATACCTTTGTAAATGAAAGCAAAAAACAATATTAACAAACAATTCAGTAAAATATTTTGTCTGGTCTAGTGGTAGATAAAGTGTTCTACGGCGTTCCCTATTTGGATATTTATTATATTTGTTCATACAAAAAAAATTCAATATCCCACTGATTCTCACTCACAATTTGAAACTGGACCTCTGTACCATGGAATTAAAAATCAATAATGATTTACTTCATCCTTACAGAACATTATCAAAATAAATTTACATCCAAACTAAAAGAGGCATAGAGCCAAACAGCTTATTATGAAAACCATACTTTTTAAAGTTAAAGTTCCTCCCACAAGCTGTAGAAATACAGTTTTGCCTCACCTTGTATTTAGAAATCTTTGTTCTATAAAAAAGAAGGAAAAGATGTAAACTTTTTCCTTGTTAGCCTTCTTATGCATCAGTTGGACCTTGGCTGACAGGTTTTTTTAACTTAGTGAGGCCAAGCTGTTGAAATTTCTACAATAAATATATTTGAAATGTACTTGAATCAAAGACAAATGTTAAGGCTTTACACAGAACTTGGTAAGGGCACTTGGGAACCTGACCTGGTATGTATGTTTGTACCTGACAAGCTTGGGAATTACTTTTGTAATAACTCTGTGTCAGATCTTGGGAATCACTTTTGTAATTACCGAGTCGGGTGTTTGTGTGGAACAAATAATTGTCTAATGTCAGAGTTGAAACAGGATCCAGTAACTCATTCATTTATCTGATAATGATCTTCACACTATGGACATTGGCTCAAAACTGAACAGGAATAGTCATATGTAGACCAAGTATGCACAAAATTAGCAAAAGTGAACTGCCTTCTATGGAAGTTGAAGGCTGAAGCTACTTTATTGACACACTTGAATACCTGTTGGTCATCTAAACTACCCTATTCCATTGCCACATAACATACAAAATCTTCTTACGGGGATATAATTTCAAATTTTAAGAATCTTATATGCCGGAGAAAGCTGTGAGAATGATGACGCAACAAGTCAGCAACAACGATCATATTGTCGTACACTTTATACAACTTGGCATTCAAACCCTCTTTGGCAATTTCTTCTCAGCTACATTCTCCACTTGCCCATTGAACATTTTTCAATAGATTTTCGGGTGAAGTGTGTAATTAACCATTAAAAACAAGACTTTTCAGCCTGGATTTTGAAGAAAAGTTTTAGCTCTCTAAAGAATTCTTTGAAGGCCCATTCTTTAGGCTTATAACGATACCTGTATTTAATTTGAAACTCAATGAAAATTATTTTGAGTATTGTATTTCTTATTTGTGTGAGTGAGAAGTAAGGACTTATTTTACAAGATGATCTCTCTACATAATCTGGTGCGAAGGATTGCTATGTGAGGATATAAAGGTAGGTATTGAACTTTTGCTTCAGTTTTTTTAGTACTCAAGACCACCCTTTTCAATTATTCAATTATTTCAAAAGTTTGTTGGACAAAACTCTATGATAAATTCTCCTCCCACCCCCCCCCCCCCTATTTTGTTAGTGTCTCCCTTGGGTACCTATATTAACCTTTGTAAACACGTTCTTAGTGGCTTGCCTGAGTTTATGATCATAACACTCACCAGCCAACCAATAAGATTTATAGGTTTGGTGGGTGCGTTAATTTCCCTTCTATACATTTTAAATACTATGCCGAGATTAATCAATCGTCCTATGAGTGGGTGGAAACCAGCTATAATAAATAGTAGATCTCAGATTTGAACTATACTGTACTGTTGTTTTGCTTGGCTGTGAGTTGGCTGCAACCGAAGCTGAAAGGAGACTATTATTTACGGACAACCCTGGTATTGTGAAACATAACTGTATCGACTCCAAAGTCATCCCGTTTTGCCGACTCAATTAATGAATGATTAAATTCAAAGTTGGGATTGGTTGGACATTGGTCAAATGTTTACACAAATAAAAACTGTTGATCAGAGGTCATCATAATTAGAGAGAATTTGGCTGGAGTAGTAATCACAATGGAATAAGCTCTAGTTAGTGTTGCATGTTGCAACAAGGATCGATCTGTTCCGGCTGTTTGCCACCCCCCCATTAGAAAATTTCCTGCTCGCCCCGCACTGGTAGGGACGGGGATCAATGAATGAGATAGAGTAAAACAACGAGATTACACTGGATGGATGATGTGACAGAATAGTGATTCACCCATTCACCGTTTAAAAAAGCTTTGTGTTTTAAGAATTATATTCCCACTATAATACTCATTTATCAAAAGCTAGGTGGCAACATTTAAAGCCTTTATAGAAAGAAGAGTGATTATTTTATATTACGTTTATTTGTATTATTAAGTTGTACGCGCATTTATAAAATTATAAGCTGCATCTCAAAGTACACATTACATGATATACAAGTGATATGTTAACTAGTTGTAATGGTTACACTATTAAGTGTTTGCCAACCTGTTCAATATTATTCTTTTTCTTTCTATAATTCCCTAGCAATCTGATCCAATATGATGATTTGTCTTCTGCTTCTGTCTCTCTGCTGATCCAGCTCACCTCTGGCACACAGCCCATCAAGCTTTAACAAAATCCGTGCAGTTAATTTTATACATAAACATGTTTTCTAGATTTGTGAAACCTCAAGTTATTTCTGTTGTGTTTAACAATGCTAAAAACCTATCCACCTCAAGCCAGGTAATTAAATATTTGTTTAATCTAGATATATAAGAGACCTTGATTTGAAGGTTATATATCCCATGATATCTTTAACCAAACTAGACCCATATCTCAATTTGGTAATTAAGACTTCTAAATTTAATCCTTTATATACAAACTCATGGATTAGATGTATAAAAGAGTTTGATTTGAAATAGGTGCTATATTCTAGGACATTGAACATTCCTTTATTTCATATAACATTTAACCTAAGTTTTTAATTGGATATTGAATTCCTAACCCTAGGCTAGTTACGGATTTTTTCATTAGTTGAAACCATACTGATATAAAATTTGGTATTTTTCTGTTAGTTCACTGCAACGTTTCATTTTTATTTGATTGTTATAATTTTCATTATTCAGGTTAGGAGTAGGTTAGGTTACAAACTTTGATAAATAGCCTACAAATTAATTTTAGTCTGTTGAGATGCACAGCTAAGTTAGTTCTTTAAAATATTATTTATCTACTAGAACAGAAAATTAGAATTAGTCTAGGCCATTCACTTTTTGCGCAAGAGGTTTAGGCTAGCTGCTGGCAAAGCGCTCCCTCCAGTTATTAATAATACTGGTACTGTGTATTTTATAGGTAAAAAAAAAAAAAAAAAAAAACACTATGAAAGTAATATTTGACATGTTTTTTTTCTAACACTGACATTTAAATTTATCTTGTGTAACTGTGTGTATGCACAAAATATGGAACTTGTAACAAGAATTTTATTAGTGCCATAACCGACCAAACCCAAACTCCAAATTAAAACACAAACAATTATAAATTGAAATTACACCTCATCAAGTTACAAACCATGACCATAATATAATATAGGCCTTGATTACACGGATTACGTTACACTTGTGCCCAGCAAAATTACAGCACAAATTTTACATTTCATAAAACTAATCTAAAGAAGCAAGAACATTCCAAATCTCTCGTAAATGCATCTGTTTGTGATTATTAATTCTTATTAGGCTATCGATATCCTTTTGCTAAACACAAAAATCCAAATAAATTGATAAAGTTTCCATTTAAGGTTGAAATTTCTTTCTTTTTCAGGTGGTTTTAAATTTGACTATTGGTGTGTTAGCTCAGAAGCGCACTAAATGGCATAGGCCTATTTTCCACGAAACCAGAAATATGCTTTAAAATATTGTTGAAAATAGATCATAAATCTTGATTGGGATGATTTTTTCAGACCTCATTTCTGAAATGTTGGGTTAAATGAAATTAAATTATACACCAACTGGCAAATAATGAAAATGCAAACATTATGCTACACCAAATTTTCGTAGGGGTAGGGGTTAGCTCAAAATTTTCAATTGGGAAGTATAATTGAGTTTGTTACAATTTTACAGGTCTTTATGAAACCAAACAATTGACCTTAATGAAAATAAAAATCGGTCCACTAATAATAAAATGTCATCCTAAAATGGAGTTAGAGATTACTGATAACAGCAATAATTATGGGGAATTGGAGACTTTCCGGACACTGTTATTAACCACGCAGAGATTTTCATTAATTAGTTTAAGTTGAATGATGATATTAGCAATGATATGAACTAAAAAAAATGTTGCCTTGATACAAATTAAAAGTTAATTAAATAGGCTGATAATAATTGTTTTACAACCACAGTGCTCTTAGAAATATGCCTACAATGTTTTACAAGGAGGTTATTAAAAGTGATATTTAGTTGTCATTTTGTTATTAGTGGTCAAATTTTCATTTTCTTTATGTCAATTGTTTAGTTTCATCAAGACTTGTAAAATGATAGCAAAGTTGACATAATATAACATAATATAACATAATATAACATATCCCATTTAATAATGTTAAGCTAACCCTACCCCCACTTCCCCTAGGGCAAAATTTTCAAAACCAACCATCATTAATTGTAGCCCCCCAATCTAAGAAGGTTGCCGCAAATTGATTTCAAATATCTCAAAAGGTTAAAAAGTGTTTAAGGGGGGTGCAAGTTACTTTTTTTTCAACTAGGCCTACTCTGTATTTCAAGCATCTGTTCATGGAAAATTGTAACACCTTGTATAAAAGGTTTGTAAATAGTAAGGCTTTAAAAATGAACTAAATAATAATAGACCTCAAGCCAACAATATGTTTAAAAAATTGTATTTAACACTTTTCAATATAAAATGCTGGACCCCTACCCAAAATACCCTGTAGCTTACATTTAATTATATTTTACAATTTTAAAGACCATTCAGATAATTAAGCTACAAATATCCAAATTGAACTATATTATTGTTGGAATCCCTAATCTGTTCTTTAGAAATAGGTATGCTGTAAATTTACTGCAAATACTTGTATGGAACACAATTTTGAATTTTAGGTGATGTAAGTTCTAAATTATTATTTGAATGAATGTTATGGTTCACAAACTATGTTATGGTTTATACAAACTAGAAGTTACATAATTTAGAGACACATTACGAAGCATATTTATGAAGGCCTTTGCTTGTCAGTTATTTAAAATTTTATCAGATAAACTTTCAAATCAATCATGATATGTTCTTTGTTTGTTGTGATGTAAAAACAACTGAAATATTTGTCGGGTATGACTATAGCAAAACTTTCTACCATTTTCCATTCAACCAATGGATATCACCAGACATTTGAACAAGGTTGAAAATTATTTCAAGAATGGGGCTTCAGGTACATTTAACATTTAAAAATTAGATACCTACGTTGGACAAGCTAAGATTCTATTGGTTGTATTTACTATAACTTTAGGTCTAATTTAATCTTGGTTTGTCTATTATTTTTGGTTTTACACTTACATTCAATCAAATAGGTATATATTACAATTGTAAATCTATAACCCTAATTCTAATTTACTTTAATCAAATATTGACTTTAAGATTGTAATTTAAAATTACAATAGTAGGCTATAAAAAGTCATTTTTGGGTTATGTAAAACATCCAGCCTTTTCAATTGTGCTACATATTTATAATCATCAATAAAATTCACAAATTGGCTTATACGAGTGTAAACCCCTACCAAAAACACAGTGCAATGCAATGACTTAACGTTCAAATTCTTGAATAAATTGTGTTTATTAACTGTAGACTCTTAAGTAAGAATAAAGGTCCAATTACTATCCTGCGACTGTTACGACTCTAGTTGTGTGGCTACAGTCGCGCATCTAGTGCCGTACGGCTCGAGACGCTTGTCTTAATTTCTATGCCGCGACTCCTGTGACTCCCACGACTAGTGACTAGTGCAATTTCAATCTTGGCCGTCATGGAATAAGCACAGTTGGTAGCAATTTTATACAACTTATACAAATTTATACAAACTTTATACAATTTTATTTATGTGAATGTTTGGTTTTTGCCAATCTGTGCTGCAATATATCTATTTTATCCCTACCTCTTGTATAGTGGTTGTGTATGTCTTTTCTGAAAGAGAATTGATCTAAGTTTGACTTTGTATATATATTAGAATTTGGAATATATAAAGATTTACTATGGTTCGTATACTGAAATTAATGGAAAGAGGTTTACAGCGTGCAGCTGAGCATTCTCCTGCAATGCTTCGAACCGCCTTTTTTTGGAGTAAAAGGATATCATATGTGGAGAGTGGCCCCACAAAATAAGATCAGTATAGTATGTGTTGATGAAAGAGTCCAAAATACGCCAATCTGAAACATTCTTGACTAACAAAATCTTTATGTTTCCACAGCAAGCACCTCACTCTTGAAATTTTGTTACAAACAGATTTTATGTGTGATGACCAATTTAATTTTGAATCCAAATTAAATCCTAAAAGTTTAACTTATTCAAATTTTACCTCTGTTTTGAGGCTGACTGTTATAATATTGTGATTTATCAGAATTACAAGATAGTCTGATTGCAGAAAACCAATCATATGCTCTCAGTTCAGCCTCTTGACTAATCAAGCGCAGGGTAGTTGACATACAGGGTGAATATAAAGTCAAGACCCCCCCCCCTCTAGGGGGACACTTAAAATTTTTAAATATAAACCCCCATCAAGTGACACCTCATTTTGAAGTGTTTACAAAAACTTAAAGATTGGTGAAAACCAGAGTTTGCTATCTCTTCTCTATCCAAAATGGTAGCCAATATTACCATTACGAACCAATTTTACCATTGATTTTCCACAACATTTGACGGGATACCATTTTGGATAGAGAAGAGATAGCGACCTAGTTGGTATAACTCAGGGCAGGTTAAATAAAGAATTTGTCATTTGTCTAGTTTTCACCATTCTGTAAGTTTTTGTAAACACTTCAAAATGAGGTGTCACTTGAAGGGGGTTACATTCAAAATAATTGAGTTGCCCCACAAATCCCCCCTTTTGGGGGACACTCAAAAATTTTAAAATCATAAAATGAAACTTCCTGCTAAGATTGCACGACCACCAAAAGGATATCTCTGTTTATTTACTTGGAAAAATATTAGAGGGGGGGGGGTCTTGACTTTTTATTCCCCTGTATAATAACTGATTATTGCAGAAGAATGTGAAGGTCGTCATATTACGATTGCTTTTTTCAGAACAATGTGAAGGTTGATATTACGATTGCTTGTTTCAGAACAATCTGAAGGTTGTCATATTACGATTGCTTATTTCAGAACAATGTGAAGGTTGTCAGATTACAATTGCTTGTCTCTGAACCATGTGAAGGTTGTCATATTACGATTGCTTGTTTCAGAACAATGTGAAGGTTGTCATATTACAATTGCTTGTTTCTGAACCATGTGAAGGTTGACATATTACGATTGCTTATTTCAGAACAATGTGAAGGTTGTCAGATTACAATTGCTTGTCTCTGAACCATGTGAAGGTTGTCATATTACGATTGCTTGTTTCAGAACAATGTGAAGGTTGTCATATTACAATTGCTTGTCTCTGAACCATGTGAAGGTTGTCATATTACGATTGCTTGTTTCAGAACAATGTGAAGGTTGTGTCATATTACAATTGCTTGTCTCTGAACCATGCGAAGGTTGACATATTATGATTGATTGTTTTCAAATGAGAAGGTTAATATTACGATTGCTTGTTTAAGAACAATCTGAAGGTTGTCATATCACGATTGCTTGTTTCAGAACAATGTGAAGGTTAACATATTACGATTGCTTGTTTCAGAACAATCTGAAGGTTAACATATTACGATTGCTTGTTTCAGAACAATGTGAAGGTTGCGGTGTGTGGTGCCAGTGGAGGTATTGGCCAACCTCTGTCACTTCTTCTGAAGGAGTCCCCTCTAGTCACTGAACTGTCTCTATATGACATTGTCCACACTCCAGGAGTAGCTGCTGACCTTAGTCATATTGAGACAAAGTCCAAGGTCACAGGATTCGTAGGCCCAGACCAAGTTAAGGTATGTTTTGTACTACGTAAATCAACATATTGATCCAAGGGAATTAAACCTTTGAGCCCCATGGATTTCCATTGATTGAGTTTTTGACTAAGTTTATATTATGTTTAATACTTTATTTAATGAACACAAAGAAAACAAACTAGTTGTTGGTGTAACCTCACTAAGCAAGGGTCGGTAAAAAGTAGCAAAATTTATGATTTGATATGTAATTCTTAAAAAAATCCATTCACGCCAATTCAATCTGAGCTGTCCACTATTTGTTGTGGGTCTCTCAAATTTGTATATGTATTGCGATTGTGAGCTCTAATGGGGCTGTAACATATTTTTTTTATTTTTTTCATTGTTAATATCTATGGGTTATTTTAAAGGAGTTTTGGTCCAAGGAGATTTTCTAAGGTTAATTTGGTTTGCACTCTTTCATAGTTCTCACAAAAATTATTTTCACTTGACATGTTGTTTGTCTGTAGGCTTACATTAAAACTTGTGTAAAAAAGTTACCTAAGCAACATTAAAGACACATTTTCAATACAATAGTTCATTATATCAGTATAAATTATATTTTGATGTGCTCAAAAATTTTATAAAATAATTATTCCATCTGTTAAATCCTTGCACGTCATATCTTGTGGATATTTTATAACTAAATTCATAATTATATTTTGTAATATAGCCTACTCAAATCTTTTGTAATCTGACTCATTAACCCTTATTATATCTGGTTACAAATTTTGTTTTCCTAAGTTTTGACACAATCAACTAAAAAGTACTTCCTTAATTAGTGTATATATGTTAATTAGCTTGATTAATGTTGTATTAAAAATTCTAATGATCTCTTGTTATTTGTATAAGAACTTCCCTATGTTCAAAGGATAAATAATTATTGCTGAAGAAACTTATTATGCAATAATATTCTAATTAGTCATCATAATTAGAAAACTAATCAATACATGTATTAATTAAAATTAATTGTTGCTAACATTTCCATTTAGTGTAATAATTGAGTACCTATATTTGTAACAATGTGAGATAACCCTTATAATACTAGTGAGAAGTCTCTGAAAATAATAACAAAAAAATCAAGGCCGAAAGATAATCAGTAGTTTTTGAAATTATTGATGAAACTGATTAACTAACCAACCATCTCATTAAGATTTTGTTTTGAAATTGATATATGCAATATCTAATTTGTGTTTTCATTATATTCACCCTCAGTGTTGAAATGTTTGAAATAAATAATTCTGTTTTAAATTTTAGTACTTGCTATTGTGAGTACTTGTTACTTATTCAAACAAATACATCAAAAGACTTTTGATGGTTAATATTGTTTTTCATAATTCAGTAGGCCTAATTTGTTTTATTGATTTTTTATACTTTTTTAATTTTTAATAGAGTATTTTTAGATTGTAGTCATATGGGTTTTTTGTGTTTACACCAATAGCATTTTGAAAGAAGGTAATACAAATGCTTTTAGGAAAAACAGGCTAAACACATTTTTAAAGGTTTTTTGTATATGTTGGGAATTGATTCCGTCCCTCCCGAACTGAATTCTTGGGCACTAACCCATAGGCCAGTAGCAACACACCCAACCCAATTTATGTAACTTAATGTTTTATATACAGGGTGTCCCACAAAGAGGTTTAAACGTTTGAGTGTATATTGCTTGCCCATTTATCCATTTTTTATTTTATGAATTAGATTTTTAAAATATGCTGGGAAAATTTCAGCGCCTTAACCCTTATAGAAACAAAATTGTGGCATTTTGAAAAATGGTACTTAAAAAATGATGATTAAAAATTGTGTTTTTGGTTTAGTAAAACTATTTTTATTGTCACATTATAGTGAGATAAGGCTTTTTAATCAGGAAACTAGAAGATAGCCTGGTGAAAAACTAAAAGTAGGGTTCAAAATGTTTCACACTGTGATCCATCCACAGCAACACACTGATAACATCGCTTAAAAAAATTAATCGCAAGCTCTTACAAAGGAATTCTGCGGTATCTGGAGAAGGTCCTCTTCAATTGATCGTTTTAGTTCCTCATCATTATTTTGTTTTTTATTTATTTCAAAAAAATACAAATTTACAAAACATACAATTTAGCTACAAAAGCCATTTATGGCTTGTCTGCAGCAATTATTATAATTTTTGTTATTTCACAGCACTTTTATTCAATCAGTCTTTTGTTTCCCTTGTTTTTCTGTAAGTAAACTATACCATGATACAGAATTAAATAATATACCAAAGCAATCATAGAATTTAAAGTAGTCAGATTGTAACAATTATTGATAAACAATGAAAAAAAGTAACAGTAATAAACAGATTTAACAATTAATAAACTATTAAAAAAGTCATTGGGACACCAACACAAATTAGCGACGTCAGTCTATTTTAATATACGACAGCAGTCTATGGTTATAAACCGGCCATCTAATAACCAACTAATAACTCTGTATGAACTTTTATTACAGCCAATGGATTTAATTTTGTGAAGTTTTGACAAGCTAGAAGGTTTTATTACTAATATCTGTTCTACATTAATAATTTTATTCTTTATGTAATTTACTAGCATGTAGGTTCATGGACATGTTGGGACATGGATGTTGGACATGTGCTGGTCTAGTGGTAGAGGGCAGGACTTGGGTCCCTGAGGTCCCAGGTTTAAATCCCACTAGATCCAATGGATTTTATCTAAATGATAAAGCCATACCCCTAGGTCTAGCCTGAAGTAATGCAAAGGGCTAGAACCAGGGTCGTTGGAATCCTAGGACAAAAAAACATGCTAGGTACTCTCCAAAATTAAAAACTTGGTTGGTTTATTGGTTTATAGTTTGTACAACTAACTTGATTGTTATAACCTCCAATTACCACTTTGTAATGATTTGTCAGGAGAATGTTTTGTTTCACATTTCTCCCTTGTGTCGTAGGATTCCCTGAAGGGAGCTCAGGTTATCATCATCCCTGCTGGCGTACCTCGTAAACCTGGCATGACCCGAGATGACCTCTTCAACACCAACGCTTCTATCGTGCGTGATTTGGTACAGGCTGCAGCAGAAGTCGCACCCAAGGCTCTCATCGGAATCATCTCAAATCCCGTAAGTTCAAACGACATTGTTGCATGTTATTTGAATTTCTTTGTCATGTACGCTTGTCTAGAATTATTATTTTTTTTTACATGAAAGTAAAACACATACAGTAAAAGATGAATTGTCAGTTGTAAAGCAGTTTGTTAGATAGTTGCAAATACTGTTTCCGTATTAAGTTTGACACATTTTAATTTTGTTAACAAAGTTAACCAAAAGGAGCTTTGAATAGTTTTTTTTTTTTTTAACAATTTTAAGATATTGTTCTGAAAGCCATTTTACAAATTAAAACACAATTCTACATCAAGACATAAAAACAAATTTAATTTGTTAATATCCAGAACATGTTTAAGCAATCTAGGCTGCATATTTAACCAACTGCCAACTGGATTGCAGTTCAAAATGGCGGACGACGGTATTAAAATCAAATGTCTGCCATTTTTAACTGAGGTTGATTTGGTTCAAAGATGTCAGCATATACTGCTAAAATACACAATGAGGATGTAACAATAAACAATTTAAAGTCATAAAAATGCATTTAATCTATGGCATCAACATCATGATATTTTTCTTACTTTTAAAGTAACTTACACCCCATGTTTAGTTGTTTTCACAAATTGTATTTTCAGGTCCTTCTAAGATTGACACATTTGTCGGTAGGTTTATTTGTTCAGTGTCCTCGTATTGGTGGTTTCACCGAATGTTGGCATGACTCTCATGTAAATAACTCAATTAGTTAGTCTTGTATTAATCCTGAATTAAGATTAGATTTAGCAAAGAATAGTTTAAAATCATCTCATGGTAGGTACTTGGAAACAGTTGATTCACGTTGTTTGTAATAACTGTTTCATTGTGAATATAGTTCAAGAGTTTGTGTTATTTTGGTTTTTGTCCATCCCACAAAGCTAGACAAAGTTTTACGAATTTGTATTTCCCCATTAGATTAGTAATGGTTCTTTGCAATAGAAATTCAATTGGGGTTTCCAGTTGGTTAAGCTAACTCAAGTAGAATACTGTATTTGAACTAATACTCTCTAATTATCAGCTCTAAATATCCAGAATAAAACTATAGGCCTTCTCAATGCTTGTATTTTTGTACGTTTATCTTTGTTTTGTCATTTGGCACTGTTATTAAGTAATCATTCTGTAAAATATACAGGGACGCGTGGGTAAATTAATGAAACCCTCCACCTCTCTATTGAGGAACTAACCTGAGCAAACTGAAGAGAACCCTGTGTAATTAGTCAATCCCATCCTTACTACCTGTCCACTAACCATACCAACCATCAAACCAAAACCCCCATTTATAACATGATTCACCCCGTTTTCCTACAATTTGATCATTCTTAATAAATTAACTTTGTAGATTAGTGTATATATTATGTATTAAAATATTGCCTAAATATTTTTAAACCACAAACTTGAGCTGAATAAAGTGTATAGAAATCATTATTTCTTATTTAAAATTCATTCTTATGTTTTTATGCAAAGATTCAATGTTATAATTTAATGTGACTCTGGGAAGAACTTTCCTTTGACAGTTTGCAGGAGTTTAAACCTATTTGACATGTTTTGTGTTTTATTATTTATCTAACCTACACACTTTTTTAAACTAGCTTTTTCAATTCAATTTTTAGAATTAAAAACTCGCCAAAGCTCGTGCTTTAACGTGAGTGTTGCGTAAACTACTATATCTAAATGCATAAAGTTTTTTTTCATTTCAGCTGAATAAGCTCAATATGGATGAAAGTATAATGCAGTATAAGTCTTGCAAAAATCATCATTACAAAACTGGAGCTCTTGTCCGAAACACTCAGGGTTATATTCCTCAGATTCAAGACTCGCACAAGAGTTCAACCTTAAGCCTCTCTATAATTTGATTGTGATGTTAAACAGAAGTAACCTTATTTTAAATCGATACCACATTCACAGTTGAAGCCATTTTGTACCCAGTAAGTCAAAGGGTAAATATCTTGAATTATTTTGGGACGTTTCTGCACCGAAACTATCCCTGTAAGTTAATTGGTGGTGAAATGAGCTGGTCGCTCAGTCGGTAGAGCGGCGAACTTTCAAACTAAAACAACGATTTCTTAAGTTCACGTCCCAGCGCCGCCACTTTAAATTCATCAGTACAGTTCAACAGGGACATATTTTCGAATAGGCGGACTAGGGGCCCGCCTAGGTCGGCAAATTTAGGGGGGGGGGGCAAAATTTTAGGGGTTAAAAAATAAAAAAGGAGGTTTTAATCTAAAAAAAATGTTTAGCAAATAATTTTGGGAACAGAAAAACAGCCATTTGAAATATTTTGATTAAGTATAAAATTATTTCAGAACGCATTAAAGTCAAACAAAAGTCAATAGTTTATTACACAGCTGTGCTGAGTTTTCTGTGCTGTCCTATTGGTCTGACGGACACGCACGCTGCTGAAGCGGGTTTGGCAAACAAAGAAAACACTTCCCCCTGTTTACTTTATACGCCACTACGCGGCAGTGCCAGCTGAAAGGTAGAAAGACTTGACCAGAGACTGATCCTCATTTTTTTCACTGAGTGAGGGTGACAGACAAGTTAGTACCATTGTCTGTTGCTTGCCATGCTCCTCTGTGTCTGGCTGTCTGCTAACTCTGGAGAGATGAGAGCGTTCAACTTCAATATTCAAGTGAAGAAGAAAGCGCCGAATGACAATCTTTATTAAGAGTCTTCATCAGTTGTAGCCATATTGGATTTTAGTCCCATAAGAGCAATGTAAAAATTGACAGAACATACCATCATTTGAAGCAGTATGCCGGTGTTATTTATAAAGATATAGTTTTGAAAATGTATAATTAGGTCTATAGAGTTATAATATAGAGTAGGCCTTCTAGGCTTACTTAATGACCACTAACTTATTAAGTCAAGTGAAAATGGCAAAACTAAAATCTTCACTCCCTAGAGGACCACTAACCTTGAATTTTAACACCTTAATCATTATTTTATCACAGCACGTAACAGAAATTCTGTTACAAAGTTAACATCACTCTTATGGGACTTAAAATCCAATATGGCTACCACTGATGAAGACTCTTAAGAAAATCGGATGTTCACTTTTTGAGGTTAATAATAGACAAGAGGATTATCTTTTGTGTAAACCTCACGCAGAAATTATCTAACCTTAATAGTAAAAAATAATACTTGTGTGTAGGTGTGCCATAGTAGTAGGTAGTAAACATTTGTTTCATTTCAAAGCCAATAGCACATCTCATTGTGGATCTGACTAAAAAGTGTTCAATGACAAACTTCGTTGCCTAGAGGCGGCAGATACTTAAATACGTCCCTGCAGTTCAATTCTTGTAATGTATAGTAGAACCCGTCATATCTGGTTACCATGGGACTGAACCCCTGACGGGATAAAAATTTTGCCAGATAAACCAACCTTTTAATAAAACGATAGTTTATACTTAATAATAATGTATAACCAATAAATCTAAACGAAAATCCCTTTTGCGATTATCTTTTGCGAAATACCACTACACTTGAAAAACTAACAAAAAAAATTATTCATAGAGTAATGTGGTTAAGTAATGAACAGACATGAAGAAAATACTATTAATTGTGAAAACAATATGATTCTATATTAGGCAATAGAAGACAATCTAAAGACCATTAGAACCAACCATCTGAAGACCATAGACTAAAACCTTTTATACCTTTTACCTGCCATACCAGATTCCCTTTAACCCAAAATAATCTAGACTAGTCCTGTTTAGTTTACCAAATTGTTTGAATAAGCTTTATAGTAAAATTGCATTTAAAATTGAAATGTACTTATATGACTGTGAATAGACATACATTGTTACATTGTGTACAAAACACTATTTCTCCCACGTTCACTGCAACATAGTAGTATTTTTTGTAATCATGGCAAGCTGTGATCTTCTTCCGCAGTCATGAAAATATCCGTGGTAATCTACCTCTATGTGGCAACACTCATAGTCATATCCTGCGCTAATGGTCTTCTAACTTCCCGACAATCTTAAAAGATAACCGATGGAACCCTGTTAATGAAATGATGCTCGGCCATAGGCTATTGACCATTATTTTGAATTTCCCGGTTCCATTCAAGATTCACGTACAATTCACAGACTTATTCCCGGTCATGCAAATGCACGTACATTCGTAATATTCCCACTTAGCTGGACACCCTGGTTAGTATCTCAGAACATGTAGCTTTGTTTTTAATTTAAATACCGTAATATCTTTCTCCCAGGTCAGACATAGTCAGGCGTTCAGATTAGCGTAACTCTGATCCTGATGTATATGTATTTTAAATATCTTTACCCATCAAACTTTTGTTTTTTTAAAGACATTTATTTGTTCAACCTGTTACAGTATATGCAGGGTTATGCTTATGAGTGCTTGGATTTAGAATGGGAATTCTCCTTATTCAAATCATACACAACTAAGAACTGTTCAGCTTTTATTCAATAAAATATATTTGTAACTTTATCAAAATGTATATATACAAGTTTTGCACATTTTCGTGGTCATTGGAGCAATGTGTTGTGTTTGGCATTGTAGATAGCTTTTGGTGATTTAGAAAATACTTCACAGCCAAAATTGTTTTGTAATTTAATGCAACAACAGGAAGAAGTAACAGTTTTAACCATTTTAAGACTCTATAAATTAAAACTTTAAATTTCAAGGATTATCTGACGAGGTAGGTTAGCCATTATTTGTCATAAAAATGCAATTCTGGGCAAAGAAAATGAATTATAATTTAAATTTCAAACATTGTGTACACCGTCTGCTAAAACTTCTCTCTTCTAATGTTTCAATTAGCTTATTTAATTTTTAAATTTTAAACTATGCTGGACATCTAAGAATAATAATTTAATATATATATATATATTTTTTTTAAGAGGTTGGCGGCCTCTTTTAACCTTGCATTTTCTAGTCCACATAGACTACAGATCTGTGCGTGGAACGTACGTGAGCTTTAGCCACCATTTACCTATTTGAGGTTTTAAGTATCAATC